ATGAGAATTAAGCTGGTGTAACATTAGAAATGTAGGGGCACAGAGAACTTGAAAGTGGCATTTGTTAAAGTCAAGAGAGCATAGCATGGATATTTAGCAACATAAAACATACATTAAAATCAAAAGGGATATTTATTTTTTGTACAGACACCTATAAAAATACCAGTGAACTTAAATGCCTGTAGAACAAACATTTCCAAATCAATTTTAGACCAGCAAAATCCCACTTCAGAAGTTATGAAACACTTATTTTACCTTAGCAGAAAATTCCTAAGCAATTTAGAGCAGTAACTAAACCATTAAAAGCAAAGGAATAGAAAATGTTATAAATAAGAACCTTACAGAATTGTACATATTTTTGCCTGGCTGGCTACAGTATAGAAGTACGTGAACTTAAATGTTAGTAGATAATCAATTAGATCAACACTTCAAATGCTTCAAGAACTAGAAATAGTTTTGCTGAAGGTGACTGAGAAGGACCAGCTGTTTAAAGTCAAGTATAATAGAACCAATATGAATGACAACAAGCCAAATAGATAATAAGCATAAAGCACCTTGGGGTACACTAGTTACATTCAAAATTTGTTGATGACATTTGAACTATCAGTAATCTAAAATACATACGAAAAGCTATGAGCTGAAATAATTTATACTAAGTGGATATCAATAGAACAAGTATAAAATAATTAGTTTCATCTGTAAGTATACTACTATGGCAATCATAAAACCAGTTAAGCAGAAAGAAAAAAAAATGTGATTTTTTTTTAACATGGTATTTGGACTGCTCCACTCCAGCATAGCCCACCTGTCACTCAAACAGTTTTCACTCCATTGAAAGCCAGCACTGACAGCAGGCCAAAGAAAACCAGTTCCGGTGCTCTAAATAAGGAAAAAGCTCCTTACATTTCTCAAGGATTTTTAATTTAATCTAAAAAGGCCTATGAAATCCTGAAGTTCATCAGCTGTCATGTTAATGTAGAACATACTGTTGTTTCATTTACAATTTGGGTTCTGTTAAAGCAAATACACTTGTCTAAACAGAACATCTGTTTTGGTTATAATACATTGCATCTTTGGCAAGAACTTGCAATAAAACCAACAAAAATAATCAAGAATATTTATTGGACCTTGTAACAAAAACTGATTAGTAACAAAAAGCTAAAGACCAGATATGACTGTCTCTGGGCACTAGTCCAGTCCTAATCTAAGTCAATAAACATAGATCTACAAGAGAAACTACATTTAAAAAAAGTCCTAAAGTTATTTAGGTTGGACTTAGGTATATGAAAGTGTACTGGTTGTACGAGTAGTGAAAAATATTTGTTTTAAATAATAAACTGTCAAAATGAATCCAGACAGTTTTTTAAACCACAAAAAATTATGTATTCAGCGTGCCCAATTTCCTACTGGAGTCTTCCCTGATTTGATTTCCCCCTTGCAAAACTTCAGTATTGCAGTGGAACTATGTACAATATGACCACCACCCCTGAAGACATGGTATTTTACCAGCTCATATTTTATTTACTACTTGTAGAAAGCCTTAATAGAAAGCTGATCAAATACAAATATTTTGTCAACATGACTTTAGGGACACAAAAATAACTTATCTCCTCAAAGAATTATAATTTAAAAAGCTTAAAATATGCAAATAAATCAACTTTTAAAAATGCCAAGTCAGGTAATTGTATTCTTGCCACTGAACTAAAATCATGGGAAGATAAATTCTACCTCTCTGAAGTAATTTTTTATTCTAATGGACTTCAGTGGCATCAGAAACTTATCCAAGGCAGCCTCTCTCCTCATGCAATTCTAAAATTACTATTTAGGGCTTTAGAAATGGTCTTAAGTATATAACCTATGCAAAAACTCACAGTGGCAGAGGAAAGGCAGCATCCAGTTGCATGTACACAGTGTACTTTTTCTAGATTTCATTATCTGAAATTGTATTACGCTAGTTTCGCACAATGGTAAAAAGAAAGCAAATGAATGGGAGAACTAGCTAAAAACAAACACTCCTCCAATCCACTTATTTGCTCTCCAACTCTACTTTTATCAGTATTTTTAGAAGTACAGACTGGCAATCTTTACTTTGAAAGGAAGCCAAATCCTGCACTTCCATCATATCAGCTTCCTATCACCTCATCAGCTGAGATGCTCTGCCAATATTTTAGTAACTAAGATAATGATTTGGGAGCTTTAAAGCATCTGTAAAGGAATCAAACATTCTTTACAGGGCCAAGGAAAACCTTGTCTCTTTTAAAAATGGCTGTAGATTCCAATGAGAATCCTTTGAAGTGGGAACACTGAACTGAACGTGACTCTATATACGAGAGTACTCATGTTGGTGCAGCAGAAAGTGAATAGTAGAAAAATGGCATTGTACTGGGTATGAATGTTGCCCTACTTCATGTTCTAGGCTATAATTTCAACAATGATTTCACAAAACTGGCTTGTAAGCCAAGTTAGCTAAAGCTATGCAAAACCCATGATACGGACATACGCCTTGGATTAAGAGTGTATTTTTCCAATTTTACTTAAAAGATCTGTTACAGATGTAAGTAAAATCAACATAAGGCACTCTCAATTTTACTTAATTAAAATTACTGTGATCAACCTTTATGTAGAAATGTCCTTTGCGTTTTCACTGTCACAAGGAAGATTATTTGAGCAACCCTGACTATATTAATGAAAAATCGCTTTCTGTGGCAACGCAATAGCTACAATGCAGTATTTGTTCTTGATCCATTTTTCAGGTGACTGACAGTACTCATTATGATTCATGCTTCACTGTTTCCCCATCCTCTCTCTTTCCCCACCCCAAGCCCAAAGAGTGGACCAGTTGCTTGAAAAATATTGTAAGCTTCACTAACTAGTTTGGGTAAATCTATTTGAGGTTTTAAACTTACGACTGGGCATTGACAGCAGCAAGTATGTTGAAATAATGTTCACCACAATTTGAATTAAAATTTCCAACCACTGCATCTTTTAACATCGTGAAGTGGTGCCCCTGAGCATTCTATACAAGTTCCTTGAAGCAAAGACCACCTTCCTTGTTATGCATGTGCCTAGTATAAAGGAGTCCTCAATCCCACTGAGGTCCTTCAAGTGCTACTATAATATATATTAATATTGATACTGCTAATAAATAGCATGCTGATTATACTACATTTTATGTTACCTTAGCAATCAAACTTTATAGTTTTTTCTAGAAGTTTTACCGCAATGTTTGTTAAGAAAAAAAGAAAAAAAAAAAATTGTTTAATCCTACCACAGTTCTTGAAACCTGAGAAAAATCTGACTCCATAATATGATTAGAAAAACCTAACAGTTTAGTTGTTTGCATTACTTTATTTAAAAAGGACTTACAACCTCCTATATAGTAAGCACTTTTCATCATTTTCCAATATGCTTATTTTTTTTAATTTTGGAGCTCCACAAAACTGAGCTCCAAAACTGGATATGGCTAAACATTTTGCTTATGATCTCTACATTCTTATGCTACTAATAGTAAAAAGTACTAAACATAAAGAAACATGATATGAAAACTGCCCAAAATCCAGCCATGAAGTAAAATGCGTCTTGCTGCATGAATCTGAACAACAGAGATATTTACATTCTGTAGCATAAAGGACTTTTAAAAATCCTAAATATGACAAATGGCCATTCAAACAAACAGAAAATAAGGCACTTATATTATCATACATGACTTCCAAATTATACCTAAATGGATATTAAAAAATTAACAATGTGACCTTTTGCCACACACGGTATGTTCTTCCATGTTAATCTAAGTGTACAAATCCGCTGTTTTGGGTCAGGATTCATAAAAAGGATGTTCAAGCTTTTGTAGCCTTGCTTGAGCTCCCTATTTGAAAACATTCATTAAAAAATTAAATAGGACCCCTATGAATCTTTTCAAAATAAAAACCAGGTTAAATTAGTAGTTTTCATACCACATTTTACACTGGACTGGAAAAATAAACCAAAAAGAGCAAATGGAACTAAACTTCATTTATTGAAGTAGTGTAGTGTAATTTCTTAAGAAAAATTCACATACTGAAAATTTCTGTCAGACATCTTTTCTATGTGGGACTAAAGGAAACATTTACATGCATATGATGACAACGATTCAAAGAAAGGAAATGCCTTCTTGGAATACTGAGATATTTCTGCAAACAGATCCATCTTATTGGAAAGGCACTGTGTATCTTGTGATACATATATATATATATATATATATTTATTTTTTTTTACTTCTAGCCCAGAAAGTTTAATCCAAGATTTAAATTCACCCCAAAGACTTTCTTAAAATAAAATTATAGTGAGCAGCAGCCCCAAAGGACATTTCTTCGTTTCCTGAAGAAAACCAAGAACTGTCCTCTGGTAAGAGGATGACAGGCAGGGGACAGAGTTGCCATTCAGACTGGAACCTGAAGAGTTCTATGCTTGAATTCTGCAGTCTAGTTGCCAATAATTGAGTTTTTTGCAGCATTGATACTTTTGCTGTGCATTAACAAAATATTTTCCAGACAACTTAATACCCAGAGGATCAGCAAGCATTCCATATCATAGATGAAATAAGAATTTAAATATGTATGGAAATGGCCCAAGTGATCAGCAGCTTATTGTAGTAAAACACTGCCTACAAGACTCCTTGAATTGAGTCTGGGCAGCCTACTTTTGCAGACCTCACTTTTGCTACAGAGGCAGCACTTATTCCCAAGAAAAGGAAGTTCCTTCAATGGAGCTCTAAGGAACCTATCAAACTGATCCAATAGTGTTTTCTTGCTTGTTTGTTTTTTTAATGTTCTCCCAAGGGAATCAAAGCCATTTCTCTATGACCAGAAAGCAGGTCAGCCTGACACAATAAAGGGAAAAGATGGAGGTAAGAGAAGGAGGCTGAAAAAGAGCAACCTCAAAAAATAAATTTAAAAGCATCTACTGAACTTAAAATTTGCAGAAGATATGAATAAAATGTAAATCAAATGATGTGGTCTTACCAATAAACAACATCCAGTGGTGCAAAATATTTTTTCATAATTAAGTCAGCAAAATAAGCTTCTGTTTCTCTGCAAGCAGTCCCATTGCCAATCACAACAGTGCTGCAGCTTTAAAAGGGGAAAAAGAACAAACATTCAATTCTTCTATGCTGTTAGATGTATATAGTAATGATGATAAATGCTTTGTGTAATAATAAAGGCCTGTACTCAACAAGAATATGTTCCTATCATTCATGACTACAAAATTTTGTAAGTTACACCACAAGGGCATCTTACAGTAAAGTAGTCAATACATCTATCTTAAAGTAGTCAATACATGCCATTGTAGAATCCAAACCTCTTCATAGCTGGTACCACGATAAAGGAACTTTGTAAATAGCAGTATATCAGGAAAACTTACAGGATTTAAGAAGCATATGTGTTGGAGATTGGGAAGAGGTTTGATTGTCTGAAGGTAGATTTGATTGCATGGGAGTGTCACTGCAAGAGGGAGGGGGCATAATTTGCATATCCATATTAAAAGAAGCAAAGAATGACCCTCACTATAGGAAACTCAAGAACTGTCACTCAGTATTTTTCTTAGTATCTTTAGATGATTTAGCAGAGTCAGCTTACTGTAAGGACAGAAAACTTCTCTGCCAAACAGCTCCTATTCAACTAAAAAGCAATCACCATGAAGAAAAAGATACTCAGCTCCTCAAGCCTCAATGGTGATCCTCTTCCACTGAGCGGCAGCATGTAGCTGAGCAGAGATCTATGTGCTAAGACTGCCATTTGTGGAAGTCTACCTGTACCAGGTGCATTTCCTCCCAAAGCCAACTGTTGCTTTTTGGGATAAGCCAATCTAATCATAAGTACTTGAGGTAGTGATCTTTATTGCTAAGTGATTAGATACTTCCTTTGAAGTAGGACTATTGCACTGCACACTTTTGCAGTGTTTTTCATGAAAATTCATACTTCCTAGAAATGGAAAAGCTTGGCAGAGCTTTACAAAGATAGCTGCATAGCACCTAACTTATGAACCATGAACATTCATTGCTTCATTTCAGAAGTATCTAATACAGATAGTTTATAAACAACAGCATAAATTGAACTAAATTCTGCCCTCAGTCACAAAAAACAGCAGTAATTCCACTAAAGTCTCCGGGAATCCTGTTTGAACTTTCAAGGGCCAATTTTGACCCAATGTCAGTATCAGTTCCTACCATTTTCCTATTTTTATTTTTCCTTATCATACCTGTATTGAAGAAGAAGTCTTCTTATCTTCTCAGCTTCACGGAATCCTTGTCCAGAATGTAAGTAGACAACATCAGTATGGAGTATCTGACCTAGAATAATGAAAGGCAAATCCATTCAACCATAAATGGTATTTCCTGCTAGACTACCAAAGCCACATGCTGATTTATAAAGAAACATTTTAATAAATAACTTTCAATTTCCTATAGACTCTAGGGCTGATTCAAACAGCAAAAGAGCTGGGTTAGCTGCCATAGTAAATAGCATGCCAAGCATGTCAATAGATATAACATAAACTTCAGCATCAATCAGCATAATTGTTCATAATGAGCAAATACAGTATACTTCATAATTACAAAAAGGTATACTGCCATAATTTGAACACCTTAAAATATGGTTAGAAGAAGGTGGGATCTAGTTATCTAAGCACAGACCTGCAACCTAGGACCTCCTGGATTTTAATTCCAACTGTAACTGTGACTCTTTCTATTGTTTTTTGTGAGTAACTAAGTTTCCCTCAATATGGAGATAATACAAACAAGCAGATTAACCAGAGGCACTTGCATTTGTGAATGTGGACACCACACCATTTACTACAGTATTGGTTTCAACTGCAGAGCTCAGTTTGCTTCTAATGCACACATTCAGTGGCTATATTTAACTTTCTCACCTGTTCTTCCACAAAAATCAGAGAGCTAATAAAGCACTGATCACAATTACTTATTCTTCACAGTTCAGCAAGAGACTGAAGAGTTTTAAAAGATCTCCCAATCTTTGGTAAGTTAACTATGGATATGAAAGGACATTTATTGCTAGAAAACTAAACCAAAACTTGAGACAGGTTCAATCTCAGGTATAGGCAAAAACATCCTGCATGTCACCGATTTCTATGGGAGTTACGTAACCTTTAAAAATGTGGACTTTACAGATTCCTATCTGTAAAATGATGCAAATGCTTCTGTACTTCACCAAAGTACTGGGATGTTAAAACCACTAATAAATACCTGGGCTAATGCTTTGGTGGATGCAGGGTCCTTTACCAATCCATGCTCTTTAGAATCTATTGACCTCTCATCAAAGTCTTGCTAGAGCATAACAGATTAAAAAGTGGTATACGTACTTATTTCTGTAACAGAATTTCCATCCTTAAAAAAGCAATGTATCCACAATGTAAATATTTAAGGATATAATCAAAGGGGTGTTTTTTTCCTTGGGCAGAGGAGAAGTTGTGTGCGTTTTGTATCTTTTAGGGTTTTTGTTTAAATCAAAAACTACTGACGATTTTTTGCCTATTTAACGAAAAGTTAAGTAATACAATCAGCTTCGCACTGATCAAATATAGCCTTTTAAAGCAGAAATTTTGTAAATACAGTTCAATAATTAAGGAATCAGTATGCTTCCACTAGCAGAATAAATTAGGGGTGACCAATATATAGCCCAGGTGCCATACCTGGCATATAGAGCCATGTCATCTGGCCTGCAGGGCTCCCTTAGGTCCATAAATTTGGTGACAGGGACAATTAATGCTGCTGCCAAATTTCCAAACAAATGAGGAAGCCTACGGACCAGACCCAAGCCCGTGGGGCCAGATGAATTGTGTGCAACTGGACTAAATGATTCCTATATCTCTAGAACAGGGGTAGACAACCACGGCACATGTGCCAAATGATGGCATGCAAAGGCATTTTGCTTGGCATGCGAGCCTTGGGGCGGATGGAGGGGAAGGGACTGGGGTGACACTACCACAAGGATTGGGCTCCTCACGGCTCCCCCACTGTCCACCCCTGGCAAGACAACATCTTACAAGTCAAGGCTGCAGGTGGTTTTGGTACTCTGCCCAAAAACGTTGCCAACCCCTGCTCTACAAAATATACAGAAAAACAGCCACCCCATTTACAATTTTTTTTAAGTTGGTTATATTATGCTGCACTAGGTATGGCAAACATTTTTCAATAAGCAGTACGTGAGACTCTAATTCCAGCACTTTGTGCTGTGAAAGTCAGATGAAAATAAAGAAAACATTTCACAGCTGGACAGGGTACAATGGAAAACAGAGATTCAAGACCAGAGATAGACAAAATGCAGCCTGCAGGCCAGATGCAGCCCGCCAAGCCATTCTATCTGTCCCACAGGGCCCCTAAAATTTAGAAAATTAATATTAATCTGCCCTGCGCTGCCTGTCATGCTCGCCAAAACTCAGTAAGCAGCCCTCCGCCCAAAATAATTGCCCGCCCCTGTTCAAGACGCTTTAACTCAGCAGTGAGGGCATTTCCCTGGTGAGGGGGAATCCAGAATTCTAGCCTCCGTTGCCAAAACCCTTTATGTATTTTAAATCAATGATTCTTTAATGACAAATGCATAAATAAGCAGCCCTTTGCACAATGATCATAATCCACAACTCCTAGAAGAGTGGCCACATGGCCAGGCTACAAAGAGATTCTCTCTCTTGCGAGCTTTCTCTCCAGCCCCATGAATCTTGCACTCTTTTATGCACAGTGGCTCAGACTGAACAAGGCAAGTGAAGAGTAGCCCCCTCCATCCAGCTTAGTTCACAGTCTGGTAATTAATGGACTTTCCTGAAAAATGGAAGATAGGGGTTTTGGGTTTTTTGCAAAAATATATGTGTACACACATTCCGCTAAGCGGCCCCTGTGGTTCACTTGGCTGATCAAAGCATACTTTGACAGTTAAACCATTAAAAACCCATTACACAGTTTGCATCGCTTATCCATGCACCCATATCCACACCCGTACCCCCACCCACTGCCCTCCTCAGAGGGCCTGCCCCTGAAAAAGTCTATGCCAGGCCCCTCTCCGCCATATAAGGTCTGCCATTTCTTTCCCGTCATCCTCTTCTGTTTTCCTGTAGTACCAGGGCATTTAGGCTCCAGACCCAACCACAGCGCATTTCTACGCATGGGGATCCTTATAGCCTCAGTGAATGTAAGAAGCTGCTTAGGAAGGAGAAATGGGACACCACTGAAATGGTCCTGGGGCAGCTGTGGGCAGACATCCTTTGTCTTCAGGAATATGCCCTGCCTAGTTCTAGAGACTATGTTGATTTCAAGAAGAGATGGCAACATGGTCCTTCTTCTGGTCAGGAGCCGGTGATGACCAGACAGCGGGGGTCACAGTACCCCCGAAGGGAGACAGAGTGGAGCCGTTGCAGCACCAAGAAAACATTGCAGGCAGGTTGCTGCAGGTCACCCTGGCAACAGAAGAAGGGACATTCAAGCTTTTAAATGCATACATACCAGGAAATAGGACCAGCAAAACATGCCTTCCTCAAGAACAAGAAGGTAGCAGTGCCCAGTGACTGGCCAGTGATGACTGCGGGGGACATGAACTGCATCCTCAAGGTGGGTGACAGAATAAGCAGAGGCCAAATGAAAGGACTGGACAGATCCTCCAAGCAGCAGCTCATCTGCAAACATAGCCTGGTGGATGCAGGCAAAGAGGCCACAGGTCCTGGGGGAAAGTTCACTCAGGTAGACCCCCTGGGGCAGTCAAAATCACACATAGACTTCATCTTCTTCCCAAAAGGGTGTAAGGTAGTCAAGATCAAATCCACGCTGGTCTGCTTCTCAGACCTTTGCCTCCTAACAGTAAAAGCAGAAGTGGGAAAGCAGCCCACGAGAAGCAAGAACATGTGGAAACTGAACGTGACTCTTCTGGAAGATGAGAAAATACAGTGGGAGTTCAAGCAGCACTACGCAGTATGGAAAACCCTCCGACCCAGATACCAGAACTACACAGAGTGGTGAAAGACAATGAGGGACTTTTCCAGAAGGCTGGAAGGAGACAAGCCTGGTTCCAAAGGCGGCAACAAGAACACCTCACCCACAAATTACAGAGCCTGAACAAGCAGGCAGCTTAGGGTTAGGATATAAGGGAGGCTATGAGGCCCCCAGACTGGGGCATGGTAAAGGGAACAGGCCAGGAAGATCTTCCTAGCCCAGGCCCCCTGGGTGGAAGAGGGAGAAGAGTGGTCTGCTTATTTTAGCAAGATAAAGAAAACCAAGAAAGAAGCAATGACCAGCCTGGCAGATTGAGCAGGGGTGGAGCACCAGTCAAATGATGGGATGCTGGAGACAGCAGCAGCATTCTACCAGCAGCTCTACATGGCACGACTGGAGGACCCTGGAACAATACAGGACTGCCTGCAAAGGTTCTCGTGAGTCCTTAGGGTGGACAAAGGATAGAGGCTAGTGGAGGAGTGGACGCTGTGGGAGATCAACACGATGCTCCGCAGCTTCCAGAACAGTAAGACACCTGGGGCAGATGGTTTGTCCAAAGAATTCTATGTTGCTTTCTGGGACTAGGTGGCCCCAGACCTGCTGGAGGTCTATAGGGAGCACCTGCGGGCAGGCCACCTAGGAGCAGAGATGGAGAAAGACCTCATAAACCTTCTTTACAAGAAAGGGGAGAGGCAGGACTTGAGAAACAGGCACTCAATTATACTCCTGAACTTTGATTACAAACTAATGGCCAATGTCTTGGCTGAGTTTTTTACGTCTGTTATAGGTGCAGTGATTCACAAGGACCGGGTGTGCACAGTGCCAGAGCAACAGATCCACAATGCCCTGATGCAGCTGCAAGATTCACTACAGTACCAGCGGGAGAGGAGACAGAACAATGCCATGCTGAACCTCAACTTGGAGAAGACCTACGACGAGAGGTGCACCGATAGAGATTTGGGGGGCTGATTCCAATGGAGCAGCGGCTCATCCTGGGGGCATGGGGGGG